TTGTTATTTTTTTTTTAAAAGAATTTGTGTAGTTTAACAAATCTTACTAACAAGTGGATATTGGTAGTTGTTTTGAGCAATTGATGGTTAGTTCAACAATTTTATGAATAATTCAAGCCAATTTTATTGGTCCTTGGTCAAAATAGGGTAAAGTTCCTACACAAGTAAAGTTTATGATGTTTGATAAATTTAAGGTAGTAATTGGATATTTAATTTTTATATATATATATTTATTTGATTTGAATGAAAAGTTCAAATTCTTGTCAACCACTTATTATATTTCACTGTTACTTATGTTAGAAAAAATATTAGTTGGCCGAGTCAGATGATGCTTTTGTTCAATAGTTGTGGAACAACATTTTCAAGAATCGATTGAAAGACTTATTGTCTGACAAAAAGAAATTGGCAATGAAAGAGCGTGAAGTTGATAACATCATATACTGTAGAGGGATAGAGCAGAGGTGGATTACAATTCCAATTTGAGATGGTCTTATTTTGAATGTATGGAGCACTCCAAAATGCCAAAACATCTTTGCTAAAGCCAAACAAAATTGTCGAACACAAAGAAAGAAGTACTAAAAATCACACCGGTGGCTTGGTTGCCTTTTTTGTTCATAAAAAGATAATGGTATGATGTTTTTCATTAGTTATTTTTTTCATCAAATGTTAATTTTATATAAATTGCATTGTTACATATTTCATTGAATGTATCTAAACGAATGTAGTAACTTTAGTTGCAATAAGAAGCAACATTTACAGAAGTCTTCAATTACACTCATAGACGTTCAAGAAGACGTGGTGATTCCATTTACAACAAATCCAAAGTTATCAGTGTATGTGACTTTCCAATGACTTTGTGAATATTTTCAAATTATTGTATTGCTTTATTGAAATAGATAATATGTTATATGTTTTGAGATGCAAAAACTTTGTGAAAAGTAAAATTTGTTGTGTAAGTTGCTTTGTGATTTTGATTGTGTATTGTAATTATTGATGAATTATATTTATAGTATATTACGACGAGATCACATTTGTGAAAGGTAAAAACTCTTGCTTATTTTGTAATGTGATTCTGGTTGGGTATTATGATTGTTGATAAAGTTGATTGTGTAGTAATTGAAAGCCTAGTCATTGTAGAAAATTCAATATTGAACTAAATAATATTTTGTACGTATTGAGATGAGATCAATATTGTGAAAAGTAAAAATTATTGCGTATTTTATTTTATGATTTTGGTGGTGTATTGTGATTGTTGATGAAATAGATAGTGTAGTAATTAAAAGACTAAACATTATAAGAAATTCAATATTAATCTATGTAGTATATTGTGTTTATTGAGATGCAATAACTTTGTGAAAGTGAAAACTATGGCATAATTTATTTTATGATTCTAGTTGTGTATTGTGATTGTTGCTGAAGTAAGTAGTATAGTAATTGAAAGTCTAAACATTGTAAGATGAATGGTATTGAACTATATAGTATATTATGCTTATTGAGATACAATGAATTTATGAAGGTGAAAACTATTATGTATTTTGCTTTGTAATTCTGGTTGTGTATTACGATTGTTGATGAATTAGATAGTGTAGTAATTGAAAGCCTAAACATTGTAGGATGAATGGTATTGAACTGTGTTGGAATGATAATGTACTTGTATTGAAATGATCATTATTTTAAATTTTTGTAAGAAAATGATGTTCTGTATTATCTCAGAAATATGATGAAGACTCTTCCAATCACCCAAATCTTGATTCACAATCATGAATTGAAGCTATTAGATGGGTTGAAGCTACGTGCACTCATGTATATGGCTTTGGATATGCGGATAGATATAAGGACCTATTTTACTCAAGTTAATCCACTACTGTAGCAACAACATCTCACTCTGTTTATGGTATGTCATCAATGCATCTTCAACCTCATATACAAAAATAGATTGATGAGTTGAGAATAAGTTAAGGATTTAGCTTAGGTCTTTCATAGATCAACTGATGCAGTTAATGGGGTTTAAACAATTTTCGTCAATGTAATTTTTTAGACCTAACAACGGTCACACCGATTCTGGATCAAGAGATATAGCAGCATAATGAACTCTTATTGAGGACTTTTGTAGATGTTATGGATATTTTTATAGAAGTTATGAATATTTTTTAATATTATATTTTGTGCATGTTAGAGATGTTAAGAATGTTAACTTTATAAGTTGGATTTATTTAATGATTATTATGTGGATTTTTTATTTTTATTAATAATAATAGAAATAATAAGCTTTTTAAATAATTACATATATTTTTATTTTAATTTACAAGTTTCTTAAATAATTATAAATGAAATTAATCAAATTATGGATGAAATTATAATTTTACTAATGGATTTTATCAACAAAAATTTGTCATTACCATAGAATTTCAATATTACCAATGGATTACTGACAAAATACTGACGGATTTACCAACGAATTTACCAACAAAAATCATCATTTAGTGATCGATTTTCAGTCAATTACCAATGGATTTTTTACTTTTTATTGACAATATTTAGTAATTGATTATCAATAAAATTTACTGATGAAATTTTTATCGACAAAAAAATTCTATCGATAATTACCGACGAAAATTCAATTTTATCGACAGAAAGACAATATCAACTTGCTTACTAGTGATGAAATTTTTTCGTCAATAATTCTATTAGTAAAAGTATTACTGACAGAAAATTAACTTTTATCAATAAAAATTCTATCGATAAAAATGATTTTTCTAGTAGTGTTATAAGATATATGAACGAAATAGTAAGTTAACAAAGTTGATAATGATGTACGTATTCATTTAATCTCTTACATGTAAAAATCATTGATCAATAAAATTGTCTAAAATCTCTGCAACTTGATGATTGCAAAGGCTAGAAGATGACACACTTTGTTTCTCTATGCCTTTTAGAGGCCAAAACATTGAAGTGGAGAAAGGAGAAATAAAATTGCTCTGGTCGATCTTTTCTTTACCTTTGTGTTAATGATAAACAAAGATGTTTTGTGTTTTCTTGGTTTTGCCCTTTTTTTTATTATTATTCTTTTAAATTCCAGTTGTAGCATATCTGGAATTCTTGTCTCTTTCTGCTATTGTAATGAGTTCTGATTGGAGTGATATCCTTGGTATTAACAAAAAAAAGGTCAACCAATTGAGTCTTTTCTTTTTGGGGTGTCGACCTTGGAAGAATTTCTGCTTTCTCTTTTCATACTTCTGTTTGATAGAGACTTCTCGAAGGGATTCAAATAGCGGCAGCGTAGTAGCATCGCGTTTGCTATTTTGCAGTTTCGATCCCCTCCGCCTCTGCTACATGCTCGAAATTGGGGTGAGAATGGGATTCACGCTCGTAAAGACATCTCTCGGCCACAAAATATCGGTGTAGCAGATAATAACGGCTATAGCGGGACATTACAGCCGCATCTACCGTTTTCCAGTTCAAAGTGTAAATAAAAAATCCATTATTTCACATGCAAAAAAATCCAAAAGAACTCCTCAATGAAAAATCAACAAATATAAACCTTAATCAATATAAAAAAAACATGTTGAAGTTAAGTAATAATAGAAAAAAAATTACCTCTTTTTTTTTTTAAATTGCTACAAATTTAACGACTTGAAAGTTGCAAATTTATGCATATTAGCTTTTGGGTTCATTCATGGCCACTCTACTTAAGATCTTAAGAGTTTAGAGAAAGCAAAACACGCTCGTAACTGTCAAAATGGGAGGATGAGGAGCTTGGGTTCAGTAATGGTATGGGTAGTCGCTTGGGTTGAATAATAAGGCAAAGATAGTGTGAGTAGAACTTAGAAGAGATAAAAAGACGTAGGAGGTATGGGTGGTGAGTGAGAGAGGTCTGGCCATTGATGGATTTTTAGAGAAAGAGACAAAGTCAGTTAGAGTGAAAGAAAAAAAGTCTGAATTTTGGGAAGAAAATGGGAGAGCTTTGGTAGGTTTTGGTTAGACTTAGTAATTCATGTCACTATATCATGTAAAATATTATATTTATATCGTATTTTATATGAAAATTTCGTATCCAATTCGTATTGATACGAAATATAAAATATAATTTTTTATTTTATTAAATTTATTTATTATTTTTTAAAAATTTTAAGCAATATTATTTTTGTATCTTTTATGTGTATTATTTTCTTATCATGTCATCTGACATATTTTAAATTGTCAAATTTAGTTTTGGTTCAGCCGAACCAATAATAGAATTTTTTTTTTTTTTTTTATTTTAAAATTTAGGTGAAAATTTTGAAGAATTTGGTTGCTATCAACGTGTGGCATTAAAACTTAAAATTATATTTTGCTTTTTTTTTTTTTATTTAGGTGAAAATTTAATAGGGAAAGGCAAATCATAAATGAAAATTTGAATATTTTAAAATATTTTGATAATTTAGTTGAAAATTTAATAGGGAACGTAAGTTGTTAATTAGTGAATTTTTTTTTTTTGTGTTTTTATGTATGTGACCATGTATAATCATTTAAAAGTAATTAGTAATTTTTTATATAATTTAGATAATAGTAATGTTATTATTAATTTTATTTTTTATGAGTTGATAAACATTAAGTTGTTAATTATTATAATATTTTGGTTTAATTAGTTACTTTAATTATTTCACTTGAATATTCGATAAAATGGTAAAGTATATTTATAGTGTTTATGTCAATGAATTTCATGGATATATTAATTAAAAGCATTTTAATATTCATTTTAATTCTGAATTATAACTATAAAATGTGAATAAAGTATTTAGACTTATAATAAAAAAAATTAAAATATTATAAATTATTTTAAAAATCATAAAATAAGAATTTTTATAATTATAACTATAAATATTATATTTGATAATAAATTATGCAAAAAAATTTTAAAAAAATTACAACCAACCTCAAATAATTGCAATGACCACAATCCACAATTGCAAAAAACATGACATCGTTGAAAACACGTCCGCAATTTCAATTTAAATCCCTTACTCCCAACATTGCATGTCACAGAGCTGCTCTCCTTTAAGAAGGCGGATTACCTGTTGATTGCAGTTAAATAAAGCAAGTGATCACTGATAGGCTATAGCTCTAAATCAAGGAAGGATTCTGCTGTGACAGCGAGGCGGGCAGCATAAATACCTGAGCCATATGGGGTCGAGAAATTGGCTCAGTCCTCGTACATGCAGTTGCAGCAGCCATCACTCTGTAAATCCCATGCATGTCCGAGAAGTCTGAGTCTTCCTCCAATAGCTCATGGAATTTTCTTTTCACCATCAATGGCCGGGCCTGCCAAACTCCCATATGTTATGGCCTGGATAAGGCTGAAAGGGAACAACAAATAAAGAATATCTAAGAAGAAGTTGATGATAATAGACCATACTAACCCACTCAATTATACTTTTGTCATCCTCAGGGGCTGATGTTCGGCAAAACAGTCTCAAGAGCAGAACTCCAAATGATAGGACATCGCTTTTCACCATTGCCATAGATTCATGGCCTAAAGGATCCATGAGAAAGTACCTTTATCAACAGAAGTTGCTTTTAATTAATTGCCAAGAAAAGAAACAATGAAAGTTGCCCTTAATGGTTGAGGGTATGGTACACATATAGGACTACAGTCAATATAAACTGAATGTGAAGTGAATCTCTTGAAATTTTAGGCCAATCTGACTTCCTTTGTTGAAAGTAGATGCATACATATTCTTGGAGTTTGATGATACTTGTTCATAATGAAGCCATCTAGCCTTTCCAAAGCCAGAAATCTAACGGAGTTAAGAAAAAAAAAAAAAAAAAGAACAGCATGATTATAATAGGAAGATGATATACCCTCATAAGATATTTGATTTTAAGATATTTTACCATGGGCTGCAAATCAGGCCGTAGAAAAATGTTGCGGGGCTGCAATTCACCATGGACAACGGGCCCTTGTCGACATTCTTCATGCATGTATCGAACACCTTGTGCTATACCTATGGCAATCTTCAGTCTAGCTTGAAATTTTAATTCCCTTCTTTCCGGGCCTGCAAAAAAAAAAAAAATGAAGCCTTCTGAAAATTGTTCATAATGAATATTTCAATGGAAGGATATCATAGAACTCACGCCAAATATATCTGTCTAATGTCACTCCTTGTAGAAGAGGAAAGATTAAAATTGTTCTGTTTTCACTTTGATGGTAACCTGTAAGAACCATTATGTTCTTATGGTACATAGACAAGGCCGCTCTCATTTCTGCTTCCAGAATGCCTCTAGAATATGCCGCCAACTCCTTAACAAATACAGGCTGATGGTCAAAATATCCAATATAGGTGCTATAGTTCTTGTCCTGGTCATTCCAAGCCCTTTTTGAAAATCGTTTTGTTATTTGCTACACCACTTCCCAGCTTAGCTGCTTTGGCCTTTCTACCATAAAATCAACCTCAGAAACTCTTGCGCTAAAGTAACTGTATGGAACATCACTTGTTCCAGTGGGCTCAACGAGTCCTGGAGTTTTGTTTTCAATGAGTGGCTCACATATTGTTTCCTGTTCAATTTCTCCACTTGTGCTTGGCCAGTGACAAATGGACTGTTCCTCTTTTGATATTGATCCCTTCATCAGCTTTGGAGACTTGCGATTATGGGTTACTTCCATAAGCATAGAGCTCTCTATCTCATCCTTTGCTAGCAAGTGATCGTGAACCAAGGCCTCTTCCTCATCACTCACCAATGATACATTACATTCAATGCCATTCAGCCAGAAAGTCAAGTGTCTTGCAATGGAACTGTAAGAACAAAAAATAAATAACATCTAGTGTGGATTAACAATTGGGAACAAGTTAAATATGGATAAAGAAACATTGTGAAACTTCATTGTATAATCTCCAAGTTAGACAATATCTGTAGACCATGCCACATGATTCAATTTGTAGTACCAGACAGACAGTACAAGATAAAAGGCCAAGAATAAAGGAATGAGGCAATAACCTATCTATGATAATCCAAGTAGCTCCAACATTGTTTGCCTCTTCGCTTATGATATCCTTTGGTTGGAAGCCTACTGCAATCTTTACCAGAAACTTAACCTGCAATAGAGAAAATGACAAGAAGTTAATTATACTTGATGCCTCAATGGTTTTCTTTGAAGGTATGAACTATGAAGCACTGACGATAACTCTGTTCCAAATCAAGTTTCTCTTCATGTTAATTCTGTGAGAAAAAATGAAAATGTCAAAGAATACAATATTAACTGCTTTTTAACCATCATTTTTTCAACAACTTAGCCAAAGCCAAGTGAAAATCAGTCACCAGTGCTTGCAGTCATAGGAACAGTTACAAGACTTACTCCATTGCTTTTGCATCTTTCATAAAAAGGCCTGCAAATTCGCCTGTAATCCTCCTTCCTTTGGCTGATCTCTTGGCGAAGGAACCTGATATACGGATCTTCTTCACTTGCATAATTACACCGGTGTTCTCCGTGAAAGCCTTTACTAGAAGACGGTCCGGATCCATCCCAGGAGAGGAGGGTGAGAACTAAAATTTCATCCTCCGTATTAGTCACATATTTTGACGCCCTCCACAGCGGCGCGATGCCTGTATTCTCGGTGGCGACTTTTTCACCTTGTAGAACAACAATCACTCTCTGTATACTCTCCCTTCTTTTTCTAGTTGTCATTGTTATCCGGCCTTGTGAACCACTATAATTGGAAAATACTATTGGCTAGCTGTCCAGAGAGTATAATTTTACCCAAATATAGTTATATACTACCCAGTTGCATTTATTTTGAAGTCTAATGGCCGCTTTCTGCCGTATATCTACAAGGTTATTCTTGTTCCTCATATCATTGAGATTATCAGATTAACTTCATGTTCACTTTGAAAATATAGGAAAACCTTGTTTCTTTTTTCCTTTGTCTATACCATTCGCCTCATACAATCTGTCCAGTCTCTAGCTGAAAAGCGATACTTGAACAAATATGGCTTTTGAAATTTGTCTTTTCCGAAGACGTTAATGATCTCAGATTTCTATGCGTACATCCGATATCAGTACTTCACTTACCTACAAATGACCAAGCATGGATTTTGCAGTGTGGACAGCTCGAGGGTGAAGTTGAAACATCGAAAATGGGAATGAGGATGAAACTAAGCTTACCTTAGATGACCCAGAAATTCTACTATCCCTCGGCCATCGGGCGAGAAGGATGTATGAAGCCAAAAAATCGACCGAGAGATAATTGTCATTGCCTTGTTGGGGTGTGAGATGCCATTAAGCTTTGTTTAGTGCAAAGGGATTAATGTTAAGGCAACTAACTGTATGGAATATTGGGCGCGGGTCTCAATTTGTTTTTGTTGTATTTCTATGTGCTCGTCCCTTCTCGAAGGAATTTTCCTAATTGAATTTCGTTAATAAAATCTCTTCCAATTTTTATAAAAAAAATGTATTATATTTAATACATTATTGGTGTATAAATTCTATATACTATCAGTTAATCGAATGATATCACTTTATTGATAAGTGATAATGAATAAGTTTTTAAAAATTATTAATTTTTTGTATATCTATTTTAAGAATTAATGTGATGATATTATTTAATTCGTAAATATATAAAATATATATACTAATAAAAGAATAATGCATCAAATATAAATTTATGTGCACCTTCCGCTGCCCAATTACAAAAAATTGGCGCTCCATTAAAAACGCAAACGCAGTGCAGGTAACCGGTAAGCTATGAAGAGGGGTTGATTTTTGCATCTTTTTGCTTGTGCTGGCGGCAGCATTATAGGCCAAATCGATGTCAACCAATTCAACACCTTCGCAGGGGACTGCGGAGCTGCATGACAAAGAGACTGCAACATATGATGCTAACGTGCCCCTGCTGTTCTTGTAATGGACATCACTAACCTTCACCTGTGATGGCCGCACATAACAAAACAGGAGTTTAAAACAATTATAATCTGAAATAAAAATTTTTGTGAAAAAATGCAATTAGTTTTTGTTCATTACCGCACTTTTATGGGAACCATACTTCTGATCTAAGATAATGGGATTTTTAACCATATCCATTACAATTTCTAGAAAAATTATATGCTTGAAGTTGGCTTGGAGGTGATCCAGGCCAGGTTTTGATTCTTACACCATTGATGGTGTTATATAGCGTGCGGTTTGTAACAACAATCGCACTTACGTCATCCTCGTCTTTGTACTTGCCCAGGCTACTGTTACTATTGAAACCAGAAACTGAAGAAAAAAAATAAAAACTCGTAGAATTTCATAAATTCTACTATGGAAATCAATGGGAGTAAAATGACCTAATGCCATGTCCTGGACCACAAAAGATATTGGAGACGGAAAGGTTGGTGGTTCCTTGTCCGATCGAAATGCATTCATCAGCTGTTCCAATTTTGCTGTTGGATTTATATTAACTAAACTGGAACTGCTTATATGAATGCGATCGGAATTCGGGCTGTTTCCCGGAGCTATGATATTGAGTTTATGAACTATTATTAGCAATGTTTGTCAAGTGCATGTGGAATGCTTTTGCATTTATGTAACTGATCTCATGGACAAACAGAATTATTCACTCTGTGTGAAATTTTATTAACTGCACCAAATCAGGAAAACGGTACAAATATGCAGTTCATGTTATTAAATCATCAAATAAATGATTTTTACTTTTCACTAACTATATATTTACCTTAAAATTATTTTATTGTGCATTCAACCTTGAATTTCATTTTTAACAGAATTAATTCAAATTTTACCTTAAACTAATATATATTAAAATAATTTTAAATCTCAGTTGGATTTGTTTTGAACTATTTAATTTTAAATTTCAATGGAATCAAATGACACTATACTCTAGTCACGCCCCTCACCCAAACAAAAAAATAACTGCAACTCAACTAAACAAACACTTGTATTATAAGCATTTTATTTTGTATTATTTTATGGATTATAACAAATTTGACAATTTGTATATATTTTATGAGTAAAATACTAATAATTTATGTATTTATATCAAGTTTTATATTAAAATTATTTGTTATAATTCGCGTTAATATGAAAAAATAAAATACATTTTTTAAATTTTTTTAAAACTCATATATAATTTTTCGTAAAATTTTAAATTGTGTTATATTCATATCATTTTTCATATATTTTTATGTGTTATATTCATATATTTTTTTGTATCATTTTTATAAGAGTTTATTACATTTTTTACATTTGAAGTTTGGAAAAATGTAGGTTAAAATGATATATTATTTGAAAGTTTGTGGTGCAAATTATACATTTTATTTCTTTAAATATCAATTTTTACATTTTCCTAAAATTCAAGTATCAAAAGTGTAATAACTATTTTATAAGAGTTAAATATAAAAAATGCCAATGTACTATACATTTTCTATCAATTTGGTACCTAAAAAAATAAAATTTTCATTTTAGTACTCTAACTTTCATTCTATCATCCCCTTTGATATCTCATAGTAACACTATTAATTAGCTTGCTGATGTGGAATTATCATTCATTAAAATGCTAATAATTGTCAAAAGAATCCAATTAATACTATATCATCAATTACCACGTTAATATTAAAAGAAAATTTTTTAAAAAATTAAAAATTATAAAAAATTTTACAAAAAAATGAAATATTTACAAAAATTAAAAAACTAAAATATTTTTAAAATTACAAAAATTTTAAAATTATGAAATTTAAAATTTAAAAAAAATCTCAAAAAATTAAAAGTTTTTGAAAAATAAAAATGAAAATTTTAATAAAAATAAAAATTTTCTTGAAATAAAAAAAGATTCACAAAAACTAAAAGAATTGAAAATTTAAAAAAAATCTAATTTTTTTTTAAATTTTGAACATAAAAAATATCTAAAATTTTTTGAAAAAAATCAGAAAATTAAAAAAATTTAAAAACTCTAAAACTTTCTAAAAAAATATAAGGAATTAAAAAAACAAATTTGAAAAATAAAAGCTTAAAATTTAATAAAAAACCAAAAAATTCTGAAAAATTCAAAAAATATATAAAAAATAAAATTGTAGAATTAAAAAATGAAAAATTTTCATAAATTTAAAAAAATTTACAATTTTTAAACTTTTTTAGATTTTTTCAAAAAAATTAGAGTTTTTTTTCAATTTTTTAAGTTTTTGTGAATTTTTTTGAATTTTAAGAAATTTTATTTTTTAAAAAAATTTATTTTTTTAATTTTCATATTTTTTTGAATTTTTGGATTTTTTATTAAAATTTTTTGATTTTGTGAATTTTTAAGTTTTAATAATGTTTTAATTTTTAAAATTTTTTTAATATTTCAGTTTGATTTTTATAATTTTTAAATATTTTATATTTTTTAAATTTTTTTTAGAAAATTTTTAATTTTTTAAGAATTTTTTTAATGTTAATGTAGCAATTAAAGAATATTGATTAAATTTTTTTATTTATGTTAGCATTTTATTGAATATTTATATTACGTCATTAAGTTGACCGATGACATTAGTCTTAAGTAGTAAGGTAAATGATAAAATGAAAATTAAAATATCAAACTGATAATTTTTTTTTAGATACCAAATTGGTAGAAAGTATATAGTATATTAGTTATTTTTATATTCAACCCTTTTAATAATAATAATAATAACTTTGTAATATTTTAAATTACTAGGGAACATTGGGAAATTTTTGTAAATTTAAAACTTTATATATTCATATAGTAAAAATTTTGATAATTTGAATATTTATATAAAAATATAAATATTTATATAATATTTTATATAAAAATTATGTCATAATTTATATTGATACGAAAATATAAAATATATTTTTTATTTTATTAAATTTATATATAATTTTTATTAAAATTTTAAATATATTATTTTTATTTTTTTATATTATATTATTATATTATATTTTAAATTATTAGCCCTACATACATTAAAAGAAAATTTTACAACTTTGGGGGTTATCCAATCCTGACACACCAAGTTTTGGCTCCCGCTATCTAAGTTCTAACTAGTTGCAACTATTTGGGTGAAGAGTTAGCCAGTTCTGACACTCCTTACAATCTCGGTGTCAAAACTGGCTTTTTTGCCAACGTCCCTAACATACGCCATGTGTTGAACAAAATCTTCTTTCTTTACCACACATTTTCGACGGTCAAATATTAATTACCCTTTAAAGCAACGACGGTAAAATATTCAAATTTGTACATGCAACATTATCCACTAACCAGTTAGTTACCTTCTGTAGCCTCCGGTTGTTTTGTCTGTTATTTCTTGGCTTCAAGGGTAGCACATCAGACATTTAATTTCGAGTGCCAAATTTAAAGGTCCCGGCTCACTTCTTGGGCCTACTTTTTTCAGTCAATAAAGCCACAATGTGCTATGTATATTTTATTTATTTTAATTATATTTTAATTTATTATTATTTATCTAAAAGTATATTTCACAGCAAGTAGCAAGAGTAAATAATTAAGATTATTTTGAATTTATTATTATTATCTATTTTATTATTTAGAAATGATAGATATTTAGTTGAATTAGGAAATTAAATAAAATTATTTTATAAATTCATTTTAGAATTAAGTTTATAAGTGTGAGGAATTATTAATAAAAAATCAGAATTTAAACTCTTTTATTTTCTCCTTTTTATGGAACATATCATTTGTAATC